GACGGTATGGTTTTCGAAGCCTGTAAATATTTTAGATTTTTTTTTCAAATATTTAAATGATTTTTGTTTTTATTGACTGATTTGGGGTTGATTTTATTACGTTTTATTTTACTTGTTAGTTTATATTTCCATTGATAGTGAGTTAAGAATCGCAAAGATTCCAATTACATACAGGATTAATTATAAATACCAATAGTTTTATCGTAGTAGTTGCATTGTTTTTAAATTTGCGTCATTGATTATGATACAAAGTGGTTAATTGCATTTAATTTTGCGCTGAACTAGTAACGATAAACTTTCGTCCAGAAATTATTTACAGACCATTACTCGCACGTTGAGTTGTCTATTAATCAGCGTTTCAATCGAAGAGAAAATATGAGAATAAATAGTTTGCAAAAAGTTTATATCGTTTTATAAGGAATCTTGACCGATAATTAGAGAACGCAACGCATACTAAAATAAAGAGACTGAAAATCTGAGCAGCACAACAACAAAAAGTATATATATACTATATTACATAACTATATACTATAAGAACGATATACTGATTTATAAAACTTTAAAGTTCCATTTGTATGTATGTATTCATTACTTATACAATAATTTTTAAATTTGTTGAAAATTTTGAATGCCTTCTAACATTTTTTTAAAAATTTGAAAACATTTGATTTTTTTTTTTTAATTTTTCAAAGCAGTTACGTTTTGAAATATTATAAGACTAAAATTATAAGATTGTTAAACATATAAAACATATCTTGAAAAAAAATTTTTTTTGAGAATTTAGAAATTTTTATAAAATTTTGAATTATTTTACTTTTTTTAAAAAATGTAATCATTTGAATTATTTTAACTCCCATTGGGTAAGTTATAGTAATCGCAAAAAAATTGAAAACGGAAATTTTTGCAATCTTTACGTTTCAAAGGTTTCTGACATTTGGCATTTCTTAAAAAAATGGATTGTATGCGTCCACGACTTTGGGCGCATGGATCAACTGATTTGAATGATTCAAAAAACATTCGATTATGGGAAGACGTGATGATCAGTTTTTCGGCGAAGCCAGGTCCAGCCGTTTCGAAGATACGGGGTAGAAAGTGCCAAAAATGGTAAATCAGTTTTTGAAGTAACGGAGCGCCCGATTTCAATGATTTAGAAAACATTTTACTTGTGACGAAATTTTTGGTAAGCGGTTTCGGAGATACAGAGGAAAATGTAAATACATAAAATGATATTTGGCTTAAAATGATCATTAGACATATTGCACATCAAATTATCAGATATTTTGAACATGAGTACTAATTTTGTTACATTTTTTTGGGATCCGTACCAAGTTTTTAATTTTTAAAGTTCATTTATTCGGTTCAAACAAATTTCAAAATTTTTACAACATACTTTGAATATTAATTTTAAATTTACAATTGAGTTTATATGTATTTCATATGCGTTACTGTAATCGTAAGAAAGATATCCTCAAACGGATTCATTTCGCATCTCTTCTTAATATAAACATTTTCAAGCGTTTTGAGCAATAAGATCGTCACAGTATATTATATGAACAAATAGATATGCATGTATAGTAATTATATTTTTTTCTTTGAAAATATTTAAAATTTATTTATTTTATTTAAAAAAATATTGTAATAATAATATATATTAATATTTATTGTTTATTTCGCTTTTTGGCTCGAATATTTAATTCTGGTACGGGAAGTTCCAGCAATTTGCCTCAAGTACGTTGCCATTAACCAATAGTGGATTTTTCTTTTCAAAGCATTCGCGTAACAAAATATCGAAGCATATAAGCACCGGGTCGCAGTCTAACGGTTAAACGTTATAAATCTTGGTACGGAACTTTTAAAAATATAAACAAAATTCTACTTAATATTAAAATCTCTATAAAATTTTTGATAATTTGAGGTGCATATGCAATTTGATATGATCAAATGGGAATGGAATTTTTCAAAACTTGCTTCTCGGTATCTCTGAAACCGCAGGACCTGCCTTCCCAAAATTTAGTCAATTCTTCAGTTCAATACAAGTAAAATGTTTTTCTTTTATTCAAGTTGGTCTCTTCATTCTCTCAAAACTGAATTGCCATTTTTGCCCTGTATTTTCGAAACGACCGGACTGCTTCAGTCTTAAACTAATCAGCACTTCTCCTTATCGGTAGGAATTAAATGTTCTGTGAATTATTCGAATTGGTTGATCTGTGAAAACATCGGCAAAGAAAATTTATTCACTCATGCATACATACTACACTATATATGAACACACCACACATACATCCATTTTTTCTAAGGTATGCAAACTTGTTCAGAATTTTGAAACGTAAAGATTTGCAAAAATTTCATTTTTTTTGCGATTTTTACCCTAGGGAAGTAAAAAATTTTATACACCGTAATCAAAGATATTATTTTTTACTACGAACAATAATACTCGGGGATTCCAATATATATGTGCTAGGGCATCGAGAGAACATTGAAAATCATCCTTACTACCTCATGCAAAAATTTAGTTAATTATTTATTCATTAAAGTGATTAATGTATTTTCTATTTTATGAAGAGCAACCCGAACTATTTTGTTAATCACAGTTGCGCTTTTTTTCATTGAATCAAATATGTTTGAAAAGGATACGTGGCAAAGCACGTTAAGCATATTAAGCAAAAAATAGTACGTATAAAACATAGTGGCAACAGTTAAAATTCAATTTAAATTCTCTTAGTAAAATTGTGAATATATTTTAAAATTTTAAATACTCTCGAAAAATATCATTTAAAATTTGCATTAATCAATTTTGTTTTTTTTGTCAGTTGAATTGTTCTTTCTTAATTCATTGTGAATTTCGTTTTTGTCTAATTCTGAAGTTTCGGAATTTTGAAACCTATTCATTAAATAAGTGAATCCTTATTAATGATCAACTAGATTATTTAAGCAAATATACAATTTACATATAGTTAGTAGATATTTCATTTCTGAATAATAATTCATTGAGCATAATGATAACTATTCTTTTGCACTATATCATGAGATTTTATGAATCGATTGAATAGAACAAAGTCATTTGATTCATGATAAGAGTGAAGATCTGATTAGTTCTTGAAAAACATTGAACAAACTGCTTGTGATCTACAGGCTAAACAATTAAAATAGAAATTGGCGTATTTTTTAGAAATAAATTAATTTCATATGCAAATTTCTTTCTAATTTTAATTTATCTAATTTACTTTTTATATTTATTTTAAGCTATTTAGTAATATCACGTTTAAAAACACTTTCGGTTTTACCGCATATTTCAAAAATCTTCATATACATGGATTTAGCAGTGTGTTGATAGTCTTTTAATATCAAAAATATTGAAATCCTTTCATATTTAAAAATCCGAAATCCAATTTAAGTTTTTTAAATTATGTCTACAAGTTAGAAATTTTTAGCTATTTGATAATAAGCGTACATATTTTGATTATGATAATGATTTGATATGACTAGTTTTGTGGATTGATTCGGCGGTGTAAGTAATCCAATCTGCAATTTAATTTATAAGACTTAGCATGGAAAAATCACTCCCATTCGTAATAAAATGCAAATATTTAATTAATTATTCTCACGTGTTGTGATATTGCGTGTTCATAGATCCAATTATGAGTCAGAAGGTTAGATATCAATAATAATAAGGCTTCAAAAACATCTCGGTACATATACGAAATGTCGAATTAAATATATATATATATATATATATATACATATATATATATAAATATATATATATATATATATATCATTTTCCAGTTATGCGACTGTATTGAAGATATTTATTCATTGTCGATTTCATTTTGAACTACTCTGATTGAGAACTCATATTAATTAAATATCCTACGATAGAAATACATACATCATACTCATTTCTTATTAAGTAATTAGTTAATTTTATGTTTTCTCGGCGTTTCAAATCATTCTAAATCCAATGAGACCAAATTTGGAAAAAGAATGTGTGTGTATGAAACGATTTTTAAATTTTATTAAATTTTGAAAATTTAATGATATCATTTGGAAATCGTGTTGATTACTTTTTAATAAAGATAGGCCTGCCCGTTTCTTAGTAATTCTTATTTAAAAAAACGCCGATTTTAAGAATATTTATATGGTCTTATTGAACATACTAAATATCATCGTCGGTACGGAAGTTCCAGCAATTTGCCTTGAGACACGATGCCATACACCCCACTAGTTAAAAACGATCACATGAAAATAGATTATAATCTAATTATAATCAATCAATTCTAACAATGAAACATATACTAACATGATATTTATTTTTGCTCAGAAATTTCAATTTATAAAAATAAAATAATATGTATTTAATGTAGTAATTTTTATTAAATTTCCTAAAGTAAATATAAGTATATAGTCACGTGTATTTCAAACACTCAACACATTTAACAAACGACAAAGATAAACTATGAAATCAACATCCATTGACGAATTAAAATATTTGAAACGAATTAAAATATTTGAAAATTATTCAAGGCTTTTTTCAAGTTGTTTATACTAAAAATTTTAGCTTTTTAGGATTTATACATGCCTTCCTTCAATAACACATAGCAAGTATTAAATTCCTTGCAAAATGGTTATTGTCTAAAAATTAATTATACAATAAATCTTGAATAATTATATTAATGAAACATTGCAAATAATATTAAATATTATGCAATAAAAGCTTGAAGATCATACAATGGCTTGGGTTATACAATAAACTATTGTTAGTTTTTAATATGTCTAATGTGCAAAATTTAAAGTTTTTATGATGTAAGATAGTACATAATATATATTTATATACATACATATATATATATATATATATATATATATATATATAATAGTTCTTTATGAAATTCTTAACGATTATTAATCATTTTTGCAGGATCTTTGTCAATCGCAGTCTGCATTTAGAAAATATAAAGTTTTATGGATTTGATATGGATTATACTTTGGCAGGTAAATATTTTTTCATATTTTTCAATTGTGTTGCCCTTTTCTTTCCATTTCAAATTTCTTTGCTCCCAGGGGCTCAAATGCTTACAAATTGATAAAAAAAATCTGAAGTTTTAGCTCCTAATATTAACTTTAAGATAGTCCGCACTCCAACCATAGTTGTAAAACTGTTTTGAAAATTGGAAAATGCGTTGGCATAGTTGCATTGTATCCTTGAGGGATTATTTTGAGAGGGATAAATTAGAATCAGAAGAATAGATAAAGATTTCAAAAGTTTTAATTAAAGTCTTAAATTAAAGTTTTAGTTATAGTCTTATTAAATATCATTGCACTACACTTCTTTTCGCAACCATTTAAATCAATATGAGGAATTCAAAATCTCCTTAAAAATATCAGTTGAGAATTTAAAATATTAGGAAAATCTTATTTTTTAAGAATTTTTCTTTCATTATTATTTTATTATTTCAACATATTGCTAACATTTTACAACTTGCCTTAAGGCAAAAGCTACATATATGTTGTTAATGCCTAATATTGATACTACTAAAATATACCAATTATACAACAATACTCATTTCGTGATTTTTAAAATATTCTGATATTAGCCGTAATGCTTTAGTGAGTGATGACAAAATATGATAAAATGTGTTCATTTTAAAAATATTTGTCTTTAATCGAGATAAAACAGCTCTTGCATTTTCATCTGCACACAATTATTAAATTCAACTTGACAAACTTATATTTAATTCAATTCAATTCAATCCAAACTTATATTTTATTCAATTCAATTTAATTACCTGGTTTAATCATAACTGTACTTAATTGCATAACGCTAATTGATACAAATCATTTCATTTCACTGAATGGCGCTCTCGTAAATATTATACATTTATACAATATATTTATAATTTTGCAGAATATAAATCGCCGCAATATGAATGCCTTGGATTTAACTTGATTAAGGAACGCATGGTTAGCCTTGGCTATCCACAAGAAATAACCGAATTTGAATATGATCCATCATTTCCTGTTAGGTAAGATTAGTAAGATTAACTTAATATAATAATAATTGTTAGGTTGATTAAAGATTTTGAAGCATAATATAATATAACGCTAGTTTTGTCATGTTTAGTACATTTCGTGTAATTACCAGTAATTTTGCCTCAAATCGTATGTTGTCTTTTCAGAGGATTGTGGTTCGACACATTGTATGGTAATCTTTTAAAAGTGGATGCCTATGGTAATATTCTAGTATGTGTTCACGGATTTGAATTTTTAAAACCGTAAGTTTTTAAAATCTTATGAATTTTTTTTTCAACGACTAAATCTGTAAACTTTTAGGTCCCAAGTATATGAACTCTACCCGAATAAATTTTTACAATTAGATGAATCACGAGTATACGTATTGAACACATTATTCAATCTTCCAGAAACATATTTGCTAGCATGCCTAATTGACTATTTCACGAATTCTAAGCAATATACGAGGTAAGTTTTTATAAATAAGTTTTAAATATATAAACATTTTATATCTATTATATTCATCCTGGCCCATCATCTTCACATTTCTTTTACTATGTTACTTTCTCCAACTTTGCTTGCCTAGTCGTTGTCGTTTTTCAACCTTTCCAGAAATAAACTTTCTACTTCCTTTCAATTTGTTCTGCAACCCTTTTTTTATCTTTCATTTCGCTGAATTTAGACTACATCTCTCTATTTTCTTCAGCCTTATTGATCTTCAAGTATACTTAGTTTTACATCTGCTTTCTATTTCTCGTGTTATGAATGAAACCTTAAATTTCGACTGTATATATCGGTAACTGGAAAAGTCTTAACATCATTGACTAATGAAAATTCACTGTAGCGTATAGAAGAAGGTATCCTTATAGTTTTGAACAAGTCTAGGAAGTCACTGTTTTCGTAAAGATCAGTTATTTAGTTGTCATCAGTCTGCAGGATCAGTGGTATCGGAAGCAAATTTTTAGCCATTTCAGGCCATATATTTTTTGCGATTCATGGGTGGGCTCAAGCCCACACAGCCCACACGGTTCCGTTATTAATCACCACAAACTACCCAGAAAAACTTGAATCACCTTTCCTGGTTCTGCAGAAAATCAAATCACAGTAAATGTTCGAAAGTACAAGTTTGTTGAACGCTAGGTATCAACTAAAGCAGTCGTTAAATTTTAGCATGTGATCAAATCTTGGACTGGTCTATTTTCGTACAATAGTGCTCAATCGCAAATGTCTTTCTATTAGTAATCAATAATATTGAGGTATAATTGTAAAAAGTTGAGGTACCGCAAGTATACGGGTTCTGAGGTTGATATTTTTGACAACTGCTTTCAATTTAGTTTTTCCTAGAAATGAATTTAAATCTATACCTTTTAGTTTTATAATATTTCGCAATTTTTAAATTAATTTGATTTTATGTCAATATCTTTTTTTTTTTTTAATTTTTCGCTATATAGAAGTTGATATCGTGTACATGTGATGATGTTTTAATCAAGTTAAAATCCTACTAGTATTGGATATGTTTTGATGAAGCTAGTTTGAGAGGCTGAAATGATGACATTGGTTCTAAAGCTTTTAGAACTGCTTAATTAATTACTCTTTTTTGTTTGTTTACTTGACCTTGAAGAATTTGGAGATATTTTATGTCAATTTATTCATTCATTAGTCGTGTTTAATCATCATCTTCTCCAAACATCGACTCATGTAAGAAATTTCTCTATCACTACTTACAAATGCGCATTATTTAGTAGATAAATCGTGTTATTTTCTTTTAACGTATCGTATGGCAAACTTTTGATGCTATGTATTATATAAACTTAACTTTTATTCATTGGGTTGCATAAATCATAAAATAATATCTAATTTTAGAGAATCTACCGGTGTGAGAGCTGGTAATTTATTCATGTCGTTCAAGTCTATATTCCAAGATGTACGCGGAGCGGTGGACTGGGTGCACATTCAAGGAGATTTGAAACGTAGGACGGTCGAAAACTTAGATCAATATGTGAAAAAAGACATTCGATTACCAATGGTTTTGAGCAGGATACGAGAAAGTGGAGCCAAAGTTTTCTTATTGACAAATAGTGACTACAACTTTACAGATAGAATAATGACACATCTATTTGACTTTTCTCATGGAGCACGAGTAAGTATATTTAAATATTGTGGAATATCTTCTATATATATAAAAATAAGTCGGGTTTTCCTTCCTGACGAAATAAATCCAGAACGCACGAACCGATTTCGACAATTTTGTATACGTTGGAAAGTTCTCGGGCTCCGCAAGGTTTATAGCTAAGAAAATTAGTGGTGCATGGCATCGTGCCCTAATGCAAATTGCTGGAACTTCGTGCACCGTAATTAAAAATTCGAGTAATGACAATAATCAACAATTGTTTTAAATAATTTCAAATAGATTATCTACATATATATATAAAAATAAGTCGGGTTTTCCTTCCTGACGATATAACTCCAGAACCCACAAACCGATTTCGACAATTTTGCATTCGTTGGAAAGGTCTCGGGCTCCGCAAGGTTTATAGCTAAGAAAATTAGTTGTGCATGGCATCGTGCCTTAATGCAAGCCGCTGGAACTTCACGCACCTTATTTAAAAATTCGAGTAATGACATTAGTGAGAATTATCAGAAATATGCTTGGTTAAGTCAACGAGCAATTCTTGCCGCAAAGAATAATGATGTACACGCACTGAATTTCACCATTCAATCAAAAATTGCTGGCGATTTGGTGACATACCAATGATTTCGACTGGTCTTCCGTTTGACTTTAAACGATTGCAATTTCAGGTTCGCCTTGCGTTCGCAATAACAAGTCGCAAGGCCAATCGCTTAGTGTTTGCGGGATAAATTTCAAATAGATTATTTAGAAAATCATTGTGTTTCACATGGGTAGTTATACGTTGCCTGTTCACGAATTGGAAAACCAGCCACTTTGTTTGTGTTAACGTCAGACCAAAAAACAAAAAATGTGGTTTACCAAAGAGCACTTCAATGACACGGATAATTTGCGGATTCACTTTCATTTACTTAGATAAGTTCAACTAAAAAACACTTCATTTTTGTAATCGATTTCATCTGTTGTGTTCATCTGTTGTTCATTACTGTTGTGTAATAAAATCAATTTTTTCCCTTTCAAATATAAAACAAACAAAAAATTTCTTCATCTTTCTCACGAAACCATCTGGTGGCGAAACGGAGTTCGTCGGGTTTGCTAGTCTTAATATAAATTTGAATGCGTTTTTGCTGCAGAATTTTAGCGCAGAAACAGACATTCTTGCTTAATTAAAAATTTACATATGCCTGTGCCTAATCGAAAACAAAGTATAATTATTTAGCTAGTAATTATAGAAGCATAAGATGAATAATATCGCATATCGTTAGCTTAAACTATATAATTTTGTAACTTAATAATATTGATATTACAGCCAGATGATCCTCATCGAGACTGGAAAACTTACTTTGACGTAATAGTGGTAGATGCACACAAACCTCTTTTCTTTGGTGAAGGTACAATTTTGCGTCAGGTTGACACTCGAACAGGATCGTTAAAAGTGGGCACGCATATGGGACCATTACAACCTGGTCAAGTCTATAGCGGCGGTAAGTACTACTTTATCTCATTCTTATAAGAATGATGTGAAATAATGAAATAGTTCGGAATTGATTTGCAAAGTTGAAATTATATACTTTAACTATATAAGAAAACTTTAGGATTTTTCAATATTGTTTTCATATTTTTGAAATTCTAATAAAATCGGATATTTATTTTAATTTTTTTCTAAAATAATATTTTTGCTTTATTTTCCCCAACAACCAATCATTTCTTCACACCGTCAACTAAGGGAAGGGAATATGATTTTTGAATCATTTTAATCGAATGATCCATTCTCTCAAAAACTGCATAAATTTTCTACAGTTTTGTTCCGTACTTCCGAAAGACCTACCTTTCGAAAAAATTAACTAGCACATTTCCATCAAAACCATCAAAAGACATTTCTGCATCTCCGAAGCCGCTGGACTCGCCTTTGCAGAAATGTAGTCAGCTTTTCACTCCGTCAATACGAATCGATTGTTTTAATTATTCTAATCGGGTGTCCCGTTCTTTCAAAAATTACCATCTTTGCACTTTTTGCTCATTATTTCAGAAACGGCTGGACTTGCCGTTGTTAAAAACTAATCCGCACGTCCCCCCATCATAAATAATAAAAAAATTAAATTTTTAAAATATTTAAATCAGATAAATCTAAAATTCAATTAGTGGTGCATGGCATCGTGCTTTAAGGCAAATTGCTGGAACTTTCCGTACCGAAAATTAAAATTTTCAAAAAAGCATTATTTTTTGAAAACTTTGAGACCATTACATTTTTGAGAATTTAGAAGTTTTTAAAAAAAGTGTTTTTTAATTTTGAATTTTTTTGAAAATCTTGAATTCTTTTTAAAAACGAAGCAAACAGCGCAGCTGGCTGCGTAGCTCTTTTAGAGATGAAATATGAATGAAATATCGAAACGCGTCAGCGCCGAGTCGCAGTCTAACGGTTAAACATCAAATCAACCCATAGAAATGTGAAAAAAATGTTTACTTATTAAAATCTTTATAATTTATCTTATAATTTGATGTGAATATGTGTAATGATCTTTTTTGTCAATTTTTTGTACCATTTTATTGAATATCCCAAACATCTGGACCTGCCTTCCAAAAATTTTAGCAGTTCTTTATTTCGTCTTTTGGCTGGAACTATTCAGGACTCATCATCAGGATCATTCTTATTAAATTAATAAGTATAGGATATCATCGTTGGTAATAAATCTCAAACTCAAAACTGATAATGGTGGGATAATTCTTTAATTTTTTAATTTTTATGAAATTTACATTTGCTCATTCTGAAATAAAAATGATAGAAATATATTAATAGTTTTTAGTATATTTTAATCGTGTTTATTTAATATTATAGCAAATCTTTCATATTTGCAGGATCGAGTGATGTATTTACTGAACTTATAGGAGCTAAAGGTAAAGATGTCTTATACATAGGCGATCATATCTTTGGCGATATTTTAAAATCAAAAAAGATCCGTGGTTGGAGAACGTTTCTGGTCGTTCCTGAATTAGTTCACGAGCTACATGTTTGGACAGATAAATGTCAACTTTTTGAAGATCTTCAAAATTTAGATGTAATGCTCGGAGATGTCTACAAGTGAGTTTTAACATAGACTGGTTCTTATTTAATGACCTAATCTGTTTGAATAAAAAGAACGGGTATGGCATCAAATCAATCATCAATTATCAATTAAAACACTCAAAAATGCTATCAAAAACATATATGCTATTTTAAAAATATAAAATTTGTAGGTTTAGTAGTTATATCTGTTCCTGTATCGTGGTATAGAGAGATATTTACATCCTTTATGTCGTTCAGGTATAGGTTATTAAGTTTTTGTCTTTTGTCTTTTATGTAGTTATGAAGGCATAACTAAATTTTAATTAAAATAATAAAAAAATCATAAGAAATTTCAAATAAATAGCTAAAAAAATTCTTTATCGAACTTGTTTATTGAAATAATACATTTCCATTTTTAGAGATTTGGATTCAAGTAATAAAGAAAAACCGGACATAAGCAAACTTCGTAATTCCATAAGAGACGTTACACATAAAATGGATTTAGCATATGGCATGATGGGCTCTCTGTTTAGGTCCGGTTCACGACAGCCTTCTTCTCATCTCAAGTAAGTGAATAAATCAATTAATATTAATGTTATACTAATCAAGGAATAATATTTATCCCCCAAAAAAATTGGCAACAACATAAGAATATGTATCTGCATTTATTAATATTACTCGGTTAATAATGACTATCAAAATCAATTTTCACTCATATTATTGTGTGATAATTATTGATTTTAATTTATTTGACTTAGAAGCTTAAGGTAATGTTATGTTAACCATTTAATGTAATGTTTACGGTCGAGCTCAGTTCATTCGCGCAAAACTGGAAATTTGAAAGAACTCAGTTCGTTCATAGGAATTTTTAAACTTATCGCAACTTGTTAGACGATCGGATCACCATATGGGATTTATAAAATTTTATATATATTTTACTATATATATTAATTTAAAAAAAATGATAGTAACAAACTATTAAACAGCTATGTTTTTACTGTGCGATCAATCGTTTTGTCGAAACGTGTTATCAAAGAGACATCAGAAAGATGCACTTTTGGTGTCTTATTATAATCAAATTCTTATTTGACTTGAAATTGTTTCGTACTTTATATGTGAAATGTCTGATCACATATTGAAAACATCACTTCCACGAGAGTATTTCGAGTAATTCTCCTGCTTAACCACCCCATTGTGTACTAAATCACAAGGCACACGAAAAACCCTTTCTCAGCTATTTTGATTTCGCCTAAACAATATGGGCAATCCGGCGAGTTATCGTTCTTGAAGCGGTGAAGGTAGGCTCGAAAACAGTCGTACCCTTGTCCCTTACATCATTTGTGTAACATAAAATTTAACTCCTCCAAGCTTGCGATTTAGCATTCATATTTAGACTAAGACTATGCGTCCATCTTTCTTCACTATGGCTGCGGTTCTCTTTGTTTTAATTTTTCTGGGTTGTAATTTCTTCTTTCATCTGCTACTAAGAGAGGCAGAGTTTCTGAATGACACACTGTGGTTCCTCCGACATTGTGCGAAATAAGGAAACAACATATGTTAGCACTTTGGTAACCACTGAAGATAGTAATATCCTTCTGCTTTGTTTTGGGCCTCCAACATTATAGTAACCCTAACTACTGCACAAACGTGTTCTATCTGTGAGTGTAAATATGTGCTTGTATGGATACAATTTTTTCATCCAAGATTTCGAGCGCACGGATCAACCGGCTCGAATGATTTTTAAGACATTCGATTCGTATTGATTTCGAGACGTTAATTAGTTTTCAGGAAAAGACATGTTCAGCCACAGAGGGCAAAGAGAACAAAAAATGGCAGTTTTTGAGTGAACAAAACACCAGATTCGAATGATTTAAACATTTTACTTGTATTGGCGAAGAGATTTTTTTACTAAGACAGGTGCAGCGATTTTGGTAGTTGCAGGGAAAAAGTTAAAATAAATATTTTTGGTGGTCTGAAATAATCATTACCAGTCATTATTATTCTATATGTACACACTAGCAGGCAGATAGACAGAGGTTATTAGATACACAAGCAAAAAGGTAAACGGGTGGACAGGTAGGCAGGTATAAAAGAAGACAAGTTGACAATTACACAGGTAGAATCTTAATGAAATAAACAAGTAGACTATTAGGCAGATAGATCATACACAAATTCAATATGGATTATATCGATTGTTTAAACATATCGGGAATTTCATGCAACTAGCTTTAGAGAAAAATGCTTTTTATATAGTGTAATTCTGTCATTATTAATAATAATTATTTTCCAGTCGTAAGATATGCAGATCTGTATGCGGCAACATTCTCTAATTGATTTACTACCCCTTCTCATTCATGTTTCGAGCGCCATCAATGCTTCTTCCACATGAGTCACTGTAAGCACACGAGCAAAGCTTTATTATGGATCCCCAAGATGGTATCATCGAGAACAAGAAACGCAAACGACTGGATAATACAGCTACGCCCGGAAAGGTATATTTGGGAATTCAAAATTATTATCTTTCTTTATTGCTTTCAAGATTTCTATCATTTGCGTTTTAAATGCCAAAAAAATGCATCTACAAAAATATAATAGTTCTTTTTTAATAATATACTTTACAATAGTAAACAGTTGCCAAATATGTCTAAGTGTTTATTTACTCTTAAAATTATATGGACTTTTGTAACATATTTAGGTTTTGTGCCGAATAACCTTCTATGTGCCGAATTTTTGTTTTGAAATTAGGAGAACAAATAACTATATAAATAATAATAAATAATGATATGCAGATGAAAAAAAATCTTTTTAAAATTTGTGTGACTGTCAAATCACAGCAGCCCATAAAGTTCGCACTTTTGTGAAAATATTATTTCAGGTTGAAAAGCCTAGCTACGTTATTGAAATAAATTTATGAGTCATCTCACAAAAAAACCATTCTAAAAAATTAGAATGTGGTTTGAAAACAATCAATTTTTTGTTTTTCGTAATCATACTGATATCGAGCTACGATATCGATTTCCACAAGGAAATATAGATACAAAATACGCTTCCAAGTAAAAACAGTCCTTTTTTAGCAATGCGGAACCTAATTAAGTAATATGAGCAATAGAAGATGAAGATTAATAGTGAAATTTTGTCAAATATAAGTAGTTAACCGTTGGGTTTGTAATTTAAATACTGTGTAAAAGAAGAATTTGAGCATAAAAGCTCATAGAACGGAAAGTCTGATTGCTGTTAAAGATGTGCATATAATTTTGACAAACGGAATCATAAACTGCCAATGAATAGCACGCGCCGCTGTGAGAAGTTCATATTCCCATATTTTTAAATAATTGAAAACTAATGCAATAAAATTCTGCTGAAGCCAAGCTAAAACAATGATTTCAGTTAATAAAAACAACAACAAATAATAATGGCAAGCTGGGATAATGGTTTTATGCGTAAAGACTTCTGAGCACCAAATCAGATCGTTTCCAATTATTTATCGAAGTAACTCGACTTCAAGCTTAGTCCAACACTTGGAAGTAATATTTTTCTTAAGTGTCAATAATTAAACTATTAAGGTTCCATACAGTGGCGGATCCAGCTTCGGCGTCAGGGGGGGGTCATAATTGAAAAGTTTTTATAGTCCTCAATAAGTATGCAAAAAAATATATATATATATATATATATATATATATATATATATAAGATAGAGCAGTGCATGAAGATTTGCGGGTAAAAAGGTCCACCACCGATATCTCAAAAACAAGGATTTCTTAACAACAATATTTGAAAGTAGAGGGAAAATGTACAACCAGCCATCACCCTGATTCTTACGACGTTAAAAAAAGCATTTTTACAAAACATAAATGAAATAAATCTTTATTTCAACTCTGCTGGTGAAATATTTGGACAAAATATCAAATCAAGATTATATACAGAGTTATCTCTGTAAAAATGTATCTATAAAATTCATATTTTTTATTGGTTGAATAATGTAGCTATTATTTCGTTAAATCCCTTTAAAATTAAAAATAGTAAATTGGATTGTTTGTCCTCTCGCCGTCCGATTTTACCCTGCCAAAATCTAGAAGACTATGGTATCTACCGTCAAAAATTTCTTTCAACACTTTATTACAAGAAAACGGCCAGTCCGATCTCTACCAACAACTCATCAGCACGATTTCCAATCAATATCATTCGAACGGTTTTTGAATTTTCAAAATCAATTCAGATCTGCGGGCAAAAAATGTGGACGAAAAATTTTTCACTTTTCTGCTATTTACAAAGAAACGACTTGGCTAATCGTCGCGCAAAATTGATAATCGCTTGTCCTCA